ACAATATTGAACATGACAAGACCTGCAACAATGCCTTTGATGAATGCGTAGCCGACGAGGACATACCTCCTTATTATCATGTAAATGATGAACAATGCACAGAGAAATCTATTGGTCATGCACAAGATCAAGAAGCGATTGTAGATGAGAAGGGTGCAAATGAAACTGTTGACAGCCAGCAAACTGAAGTATTACTCGGCCGTGGTCACCGACAGCGACAAGAGTCAGTCTTGCTGCGAGATTATGTCTTACACACAGTGCAACGATTGAGCCCCTCTGCAAACTCACACGCCCATCAGCATTCCTCAGGTAGTCCTTATCCCATAGCACATTATGTGAACTGTGATAAATTTTCTGTGCAACATCGTGCTTTCTTGGTAGCCATTACTGCAGGTGTTGAGCCTAGCTCTTTTGCTGAAGCTTTAAAAGATGAGAAATGGAGAGAAGCAATGCAAAAAGAGATACACGCACTAGAGGATAATGGAACGTGGATTTTAAAACCATTACCGCCAGGAAAACGAGCCATAGGTTGTAAATGGGTGTACAGGATCAAATATAATGCGGATGGGACCATTGAACGCTACAAGGCTCGATTGGTAATCCTAGGCAATAAGCAAGTTGAAGGAATTGACTACAATGAAACTTTTGCGCCAGTGGCAAAAATGGTTACAGTCCGTACTTTTCTGGCTGTGGCAGCGGCTAAAAATTGGGAACTTCATCAAATGGATGTGCATAATGCATTCTTGCACGGAGACTTGGAGGAAGAGGTATACATGCGTTTGCCTCTGGGTTTTCATTCTAACAAATCAGGGATGGTATGTCATCTGAAGAAATCTTTGTATGGATTACGACAAGCTCCTCGATGTTGGTTTGCAAAATTGGTTGTTGCTTTGAAAGATTATGGTTTCAGGCAATCGTACTCTGATTACTCTCTCTTCATTTTGCGACGAGGCACGGTACAAATTAATGTTCTTGTATATGTTGATGATCTTATTGTGTCAGGAAATGATCATGCAGCCATTCAAAAATTCAAGGAGTATTTGAGTTGTTGCTTTCATATGAAGGATTTGGGGGTGTTGAAATACTTCCTCGGCATTGAAGTTGCTCGCAGTCCTGAAGGAATTTATTTGTGTCAACGTAAATATGCATTGGATATTATCTATGAGGCTGGTCTGCTCGGAGCTAAACCTGCCACCTTCCCACTCGAACAGAATCATAAATTGGCTTTGGCAGATGGTGATATTTTAAATGATCCAGAAAGTTACCACAGTTTGGTAGGTCGCCTTATTTATCTCTCTGTTACGCGACCTGAGTTATCTTACTGCGTGCATATGTTGGCCCAGTTTATGCACTAGCCATGGCAAGAGCATTGGGAGGCTGCTTTGCGTGTTGTTCGCTACTTGAAAGGAAATCCTAGACAAGGAATTATGCTGAGGTCTGACAGTGACTTGCATCTTTATGCTTGGTGTGATTCGGATTGGGCGGGTTGTCCTTTAACTCGTCGATCTTTGACTGGTTGGTATATTCATCTTAGGAGCTCGCCAATTTCTTGGAAGACCAAAAGGCAACATATCGTATCTCGCTCATCTGCTGAGGCAGAATATCGATCTTTGGCTATGATTACTTGCGAACTGAAGTGGTTGAAAGGACTTCTTTTGGCTCTTGGGGTAGACCATCCCAGTCCGATCAAGCTGTATTATGACAGCTAGGCAGCCTTACATATTGCTGCAAACCCAGTGTTTCATGAGCGAACAAAACATATCGAGATCGATTGTCATTTTGTTCATAATGCCGTTTCCAATGGTACCATTCGACCAACTTATGTCCCGGCAAGTTCCCAACTCGCTGATATCTTTACTAAGGCACTAGGTGGACGTCAATTTGAGTTTATTCTTCGCAAGTTGGGCATTCAAAATTTGCATGCTCCAACTTGAAGGGTGGTATTGGAATGTGATCTGTATATTGTCTTTGTATAGCAAGTGAATATTAGTTTCCTGATTTAGGCTAATGCTTTTTTCCTTCTTTGGTTGATTTGTTTCTTGATTATAGGGATGTAATACTGTTATTTATTGAAAGGTTTCGGTAAATAAAGAACAAGAAAGCAAAAGCTTCATTCTGAAAATATTGTTTTTACACAGTTCTAACTCATAGTATTTAACATTTTACAACACATATTGACTGGCAGAAAGTGTGCCCGTCCCTCGCTATCAACATGAAACCATAATCTGCAACATCTCATTGTTTGACTAATTTACTTTATTTCGATTTAGTATTCGGGATTAATATCTTCACCTTCGACCCTAGCTTTATCCTCGTTAACTTGTTTGCCCATTCCCAGTTTTCTTCCATGTTTAGGATGTACATGCCTTGAGCTCGAAGAAAAGTGTTTATTTGGTGCTTCATGGAGCCTCTGGTTTGTCAATTGAAATTATCAAGGTAAATCTCTTCATCTCGAGATCACTCGTGATTCAAAAACCGAAAATAAAATATTAATAATAAAAACTAAATATGTATCCATACTATGTATGCTTTTTCTACTGAACAGGGATGTATAGAGAGAGGTGTAACGAAATTCTACGGGAACACTGAGGTATGCATGACTTACATGGAGTCACTCAAGAGCCCGAAGAAGGATCTTTGAGGTTTATTTAACAACCTATAAACCCAAAAGATCAAGTATGTCATAATTGATAGGTGATCTCAAGGTTCCAAGAACTCAATGAAGGGAATAAACTCTCTTGATCGCTAGATCAACTTCTTCAGGTCATTGCAAGTTTTTATTTGTCATTGGATTCAATAGTCAATAGTAATGTATCATTGTATTCAATATTATTTATTTACCTTCATCCGTGTTTACTTTCGTTTGTGCGTATCACACAAAAAATAATATTTCATTGTATCTTTGAATGTCTATTTACAAACTTAGTGCATTACTCAATTAGCGTGGAGGAATGACATATTTAAAAAAATGACTCATTTATTAATTATTTTTATAAATTAGTTATTAAAGTTTAATTTTTTCTAAAGTGTAAATGTTATTAATAATAAAAATTTTAATCATATAATAGAGTGATTCTAAATAGCCCCCCGCCTATTTTCTATGAAGCCCCCATTTTCAATTTTAATTAAGATAAAAATGTAAATAAAAACGAAAAAGATGAAATTTGGTCCGTAAAGAAAATGGCAAAATTGCAATAAAATATAGCAAACATGGTTTAAAAATAAGATGAATACGTGTCATTACATCAAAGGGAAAATGAGAGCGGGAGTGAAAGGCTCAAAACCCACAAAAGACCAAGCCAGTTTGAACCCTAGATGCTCCACAAACGGCGCTACTCAAATGGCCTCCAAAACCTTTCTTCGTCGTTCTTCTTCTTCTTCTGAAACGGTTACGAAAACCAAATTCTCATCTTTATTTACAAATTCATGTAAGGGGACTACAAGTATACCACAAGGTTCAGTTCATAATGTGGAAGAGGTAGCGAGGCTTGATAAATTCCTTCAAAAAGATTGTAAACAAGGTAATATCACTCTTGATGAAGCACGCTATTTCTTTTGTATAATGATTGATATGCAACCCAAACCACCGATTTCATCATTCAACTGGTTGTTTGGAGCTCTTGCTAAGAAAAAATTTTATGAAGACGTTATTTTGCTGTACAAGCAAGCGGATTCGATGGGTTTGTTGCCAGATTTAATTACTTTGAATGTTTTGATTAATTGTTTTTGTAACGTGGGTCGAGTTTGTGATAGTTTTGTTTTTTTCGGGAGGATTTTGAGGTGGGGTTTTAGCCCAAATGTTGTGACTTTGACTTCTTTGATTAAGGGTTTGTGTTTGGAGAATAGGGGTACGGAGGCTACGAGGTTGTTCAAGAAAATGGTTGTCTTTGGGGTTAGGCCTAACGTGATTACGTATGCCACTTTGATTAACGGGTTGTGTCGGACAGGGAACACGAGTGTTGCGCTTAGATTGCATGAAGAAATGGTTGCTGGTAATGGTGAACGGGGTTTTATTTGTAAGCCGAATATTGTTTGTTATAGTAGTATTATTGATGGTCTTTGTAAAGATGGGTTGGTAGAAAGGGCAAAAGAATTGTTTATAGAAATGAAGAGTAGAGGAATTAAGCCAAATGTGGTTGTTTGTACCTCTTTAATTTACGGTTGGTGTTTTGTGGGAAATCTGAAGGAGGCTAAAGGCTTGTTTATTGAGATGGCGAATCGAGGTTTGCAGCCTGATTTACTGACTTATAATACAATGATAAATGGGTTTTGCAAGGAGGGGAAGATAGAGGAAGCTAATGGATTGTTGGAATTGATGATCCAAAGTGGTTTGCAACCATGCACATATACTTATAATACTTTGATGGATGGTTACTGCTTGCTGCATAGATTTGATGATGCAAAGGAGCTGCTAATCTCTATGGAGAGTAAGGGTTGTAAGCCTGATGTTGTCAGTTATAATACTTTGATCAATGCCTATGGCAAGAATAGGAAGTTAGAGAATGCTATGAGTCTTTTCAGGGAAATGAATTCAAAGGGAATTAGACCCAACATTGCTGCATATAACACTTTGCTGACTAGTCTTTTTCTATCAAATAAGGTTGGAACTGCACGGAAACTATTTGATGAGATGAAACTTCATAATGTTTCTCCTAATTTATGTACATATACAATTTTGATTGATGGGCTATGCAAGAATGGCTGTGTTCTGGAGGCAGCAAAATGGTTTCGTACTTTGGAGTACTATGAGTTTAAACTTAGTATTGAAATCTATAGCAGCCTCATTGATGGGTTGTGTAAAAATGGAATGATCGAAATTGCTTGGGAGATATTTCACAAATTGCCTCAAAAAGGCCTAATGCCAGACGTTACGACATATACCATCTTAATCAATGGGTTTTGTAAAGAGGGGAAACTACAAAAGGCATATGATTTGTTATTTGATATGGAAATGAATGGCATTGCTCCAGACGTAATAACATTCAATGCGCTTATGCAAGGTTTCTTACAAAATGATGATGCAACTAAAGTGGTTGAACTTCTTCACAAAATGAATGACAGAAATGTGATACCGGATGATATCACATTTTCCATAGTTGTGGGTTTACTGTCAAAGGATAAAGAACTTTTGAAGTTGCTTCCTCAATTTCCTCTGCAAAAGTCAACAAGTGGCTGACATGATAAATATTGCTGCACTTGACTATAAAAACCATCTTCAATGCTGTGAATGTCTGTAAGTTTATGCTACAAGTGATTGTATTTTCTCTTTCTATTTTCTATGTAGCGTCCGTCGATCATAAGTCTTCACGTATTTAATCATTTATATTATTTTTAAGTTTTTTTGCTTATTGCAATTTGTTGTTGCTCACCTGAATTCTGATGCCTCTAATTATTTGAAACTCTATGCAATTTTTTGTGAAAACTAATTAAAGTTGAATAAGGTAGATTTGAGTTCAATTTATTGAGTTTTCTTGATCCTGAATGCCTCCCTTTTCTCTTTTGATTCATGGGCTTCCTCTTCCCATAGGCTTTTTCACTATCAATCCATCCTTTACCAGCTTTCTTATGTCCATTCCTGCACTCTCCCCTTAGGAAATGGAGAAGGAGATGTGATTGGCCTCATTAGGATCGAGCCACACTCTCCCCTTACCACTGTTGAGAACACTTGCAGCCAGCCTTTTCTAAAGCTTTAAACACAACATTTTTAGTTTGTTTTGCAATAGAAAGTATTACAATTTGAAACGCAAATCTTCTAGATATATTGCTAAATTTACTTGATGCAAATGCAAACTTTGCACCTTATTATATAATTTAAATTTTTTTAGGCTGAATGAGCTTAGTATAAAATATAATTTAATGTTAAATATATTACTATTGTATTAATATTATTTAATATGGAATACTTAAAATATTGGATATCTATGCTTGGGATGCAAGTGAAACTTCTTGTCTTTTCTTGGGGACAAAATACGGTGATAATTTGATACTGAACAAATAAATATATAACCACAAGCTCACACTATATTATCAAATCGATAATGTTATCACAAACCGTTTGATTGTCGACGATTGGTGGGTCGGTGAGAGCAAGGTTTGAGGGTTATGGTGAGTGATGAATGGGAAAACAAATGGTTATGGTATGGTGTCATAACGATGTCAGAATCGGCAGATGGTTGGCCCAAATTGTCATGGGATTATCTATGACCCAAAGTGTCCGCCCTATTTTCGGCCCATTATGGCCCAAATAAAATGTGTGAAAATGTTGAGTAGACAGATTAGACACCAAACTGATGATTTTATATTTAGAGAAAAGTCAGATGTGAAAAGGATGGAAATGCCCCCACTTTGTTCCATTAAAAAACATAACAAATCCTTGCTCAACTCCAGTTTTACCATTTTCAAAACTAAGATGGGTGATCAGAGTGAGAAACCAAAGGTCTTTGAACTTAACAATGGATCCATGCACGTCAAAATCTCCAATTTTGGCGCCACAATCTTGTTGCCCTCTGTACCTGACAAACAGGGCATTTATTTGTTTATTTAAATTTATTACTTAGTCACTTTATTTTTGCTGATGGATGATTTTTTTTTTTTTCATTTCGTAATTTTTTGAAGGAAGTTGGGCTGATGTTGTTCTTGGATTCGATTCTATTGAACCATATGTGGTAAACTTTCAATCTTTTCTCGACCCCATTTGATATTTTCTCATCCTTTTATGATCGGATGAAAATTCTTATTCTGGGTTAGGGACCTATACGAGCCGAGTCGAGCCGAGTATCTGGACACTCAAAGCTCGATTTGTGATGAACAGTGTCTAGTTCGAGCTGAGCTCGTTCGAGCTTGAATACTTGGGCTCGAGCTCGAGCTTCAATACTTGGGCTCGAGCTCGGAAGTATGGGTGGCTACTCGAGCTCGAGCTTTGAGTTTGTTGTGAGAAGGGGGTTATTTGTCATTTTAAAATTTTGAAAATAAAAAAAATGTTACAAAACTTGTAATTTGGCCCTCCTAGCGAGATGAAGCTCGCGAGCTTATCGAGCCGAGCTTCGCCCTGATCGAACTCATCTTGACCCCTTAAATGAGCCACTAAAGCTCGAGCTCAACTCGATAGACTTCAAGTCGAGTTCGAGCTTTTCACGAGCGGAGCTGAGTAGTCAGGAGCTGCTCAACTCGCTTCTCATCTATATTCTGGGTACATTGTGTATGGATCTTAAACCCTTTGACTATTTTTTTTCAAAATGCCATTTTTCCATCCAAGGATGTGTTTTTAACTTTGCCAGAGATTTTGGGAGGTCAATAAAATTTGGAGATTTGTTCATGTTGGTAATTGTAAGGATAAAAGTTATAATATATACATTGGAATATTTTAATAAATTGAATGAAATAAATGGAATGAAAGTGGTGGTGTAAGTTGAGAATTTGAAAGATGAAAGGTTAGTGGATTAATGCAGGAGGTTTTAAGAATTGGAAAGTGAAAAGGGAAAAATAATAGTGGAATTCAATGTTTTTTCCCACCTTGAGTAGTATAAAAAGGTATTCTTCCTCTCATTTCAAACACACCAAAAATTTCAATCTCTTATTTTCTCTCTAGTTTTTAAGGTTTTCCTTTGTTGGAGTTAAGACTTAATTCAGTTTGTTAGAATAGAAGAGTGGTGCTTCTTTTGCTATTCATCAGTTGTTGTATACTGAGAAACAGACATTGCTCAAATCCTTGTGCACCCAAGCGAAGGAGGCAAATATGTTTTAAGGAAACCATGTGTTACATAGGCCTTGGCATTCATCCTAAGGTTTTATTCTTTACTAGATCTCTTCATGTCAATCAGAAGGATCTCCTACACGTGATTCAATAAATAATTTTTTGGTTTAGATTTTTCAGAAAATGACATCTGAATCAAACCCCGGTGATGTGCCAAACCAAGTTGTGGCTCCCATACCAACTCATGTGGCACCGGTCTCTATTCCTATGAACAATGCAGAAAAACCAAAAAAAATCAATGGATCATTTCAAGAGGTGGCAACAAAAGATGTTTTTCTATTTGACCCCCTGAATCTTGCGAGATTCTTGACTGAGATGCTCCTACGCTAAAAAAAGATGAGCACAATGTTCAAGTTATTAGTGCTATTGATGCTTGGGAACATTATGAATTTTTGTGCCAAAATTATGTCATGAATTGTCTGACAGATTCATTGCATAGTGTATACGCTTCGAAGAAAATGGCCAAAGAATTATGGGAGTCTTTAGACTGTAAGTATAAAACTGAGGATGCTGAGTCCAAAAAGTTTTTGGTGGGACGATTCCTCGATTATAAAATGGTGGACTCAAGAGTTGTTATCAGTCAAGTGCAAGAGATCCAATTGATTTTACATGAAATTCATTCTGAAGGGATGGTGCTAAGTGAAACTTTCCAAGTAGTTGCTATTATTGAGAAGCTACCTCCCACATGGAAAGATTTCAAGAACTATCTTAAGCACAAACGAAAGGAGATAAACCTTGAAGAACTCATTGTTAGACTTCAGATTGAAGAAAACAAAAAAAGTTCTAAAAAAAGAGGGTTTATTCCTTCAGCAACAAAAGCAAATGTTGTGAAGCATGGTCAGAGTTCTAAATTTAAGAACATAGGGACAAAGGCCAAGCTGGGGCTAGAGGTGGAAAAAATGGGCCGGGTTAGGCGGGCCAACCCTAACCCGGCCCGTAAAAAAGAGGGCTCAAACCGGCCCGCCTTAATGGCGGGCCGGGTTGAGCCCAACCCGCCAGCAACCCCCGAGCGGGCCGGGTTGCACAATGGTAACCCGGCGGCCCGCGGGTTGCTAATTTGTCCTCTTTGCAAGAGGCCCGCAACCCGGCAGGTTGTTGGCGGGTTGGCAACAGCCAATCCGCCGGGTTGGCCCAAAAAAAAAAAAAAATGTAAATCTTTTTTATTTTTTTCAATTACACTTTTACCCTTGAAATATAGCCGTTTTATAGCCGTTGGAGGAGTCTTTTTCGTCATTTTCTTTCCCTATTTTTTTCTATAAATTGGCCCTAAACTCTCATATTTTTCTCACAACTCAAATTCTCTCATTTTCTCATATTCTCTATTCTAATCTCTATTCTCTCAACTCTCAAGTCTCAATTATTCATTTATTCTCTTAATATTTTTGTTATCAATTTGCTCTTATTTTAATTTTTATTAGGTTTTGCAATTTTCAATTCATATTTCCAATTTCCATATTCCAAATCTCTTTCTTTAATTTTTATTTCTTCTACATCATTTTTTTTTTCAACTACAAGTCTACAATGGATAGATATTTCTCTCCCATCAATTTCAATGAGGAAGAAAACTATTATCCTAGTCCTAGTCCCGCTGATTTTACTATGAATGCAGGAGATTCAAATAGTCCCGCTGTCCCAATCCCAGTCTCAGAATCCGATACACCTCAAAATATGCCGTCGATTCCAACAGCGCCCGGTGGTTCTAGAAGTCGTCCTCGTAATCGTCGTCCTCGTCCAACTTCATCTCAAGCTGAGGCGGGATCATCAACTGCCGTCGAAAGCGAAAACAGACACACATCAGACGTTTGGGCGCATTTCGACAAGTTTTACGAGACAGAAAATGGCGTTCAAGTCAAGAAAGCAAGATGCAAATATTGTGCAAATGTTTATAAAGCTGATTCAGGTAATGGTACTAGTACTTTAAAAAGGCATGCTAATAAACATATTAATCAACATGGAAATAGAGAAAGCAATCAAACTCAAATAACTAATATGGGTACTACTTGGCGTTATAATTCTGATGTATATAGGGAACAGTTAGCTTTATATATTGCTGCATCTGATCAACCTATTAATATGGCAGAAGATAAATATTTTGAAAGATTTGTTCAAAATTCATTTTTTCCAGGATTTAAAAGTTATTCTAAAACTGCAACTAGAAATGATTTAATAAAATTGTTTAAAAAAATGAAATTAGAATTAAAAAATAAATTTCATACTTGTCATATTAGTGTGGCTTTAACTGCTGATATTTGGAGTGGTAGAGCTAAACAAGATTATATTTGTGTGACTAGTCATTATTTTGATAATGAATTTAAATTAAATAAATCTTTATTAGGATTTAGATTAATGGATGTGGATCATAGTGGTTTAGAAATCTATAATAAAATTATTGAAGTTTTAGAAGATTATGATATTATTGATAAAGTGATAAGTTTAACTTTAGATAATGCAAGTTCTAATAGTAAAGCTATAGAATTTTTTCAAAATAATTATCTTTTATATAATAATTTGAAGTTTTTTCACCAACGTTGTGCATGTCATGTTATTAATTTAATTGTGAAAAGTGGTATGAAAACAATTAAAAAAAATATTGATAGAATTAGGGAATCT